GTAGTCAATGTCACTGAACTGTGCATGTAGAAATTTTTGAAACGGTGTATCTTTGGCTATGTGTATTTTCACCAAAAAAAAAGGTAGAGAAGTTAAAGGTTGATATGTTGTGGGGTTGTTAACCAATGCCATAAAACAACACGTGTACTACTGTTTCATGAGAAACTATTTGTTCTGTAAGCCTTCACCTGAAGTACAATAAAAAAATAAAAATTGAAAAAAAAAAAAAACATCGTATCATGACGTAACCCTTGAGCATAAAACAACACTAACTTTAGTATAGAAGCATCAGTATAAATACTAATATCAACACACAGAGCATACAAAAACTTAAGTTCAAGAATTTCACTGTGGTTTACTTTCATAGCACCCATCAGCTATCGGGAATGATAACAAACTGCTTAAGAACAATATTCCTATTGGCATTTCTATTGCCTATGTAATTTATTCAATGAAGCACAAACTGTCCTATAGTAGTTACTATATTCTTCTCTGACACAGAGTCACAGTAAAAATATGTTTTTAAAAATTTCAATGCGTTGGCTCCCAGACACCCTTTTAGCTCAGTGGTGAAGCGTCTCCCGAAGTTCACCGTTCAGGTGGGGACTGGACAGCCTCATAAAACAAAACGGGACTAATGAGGCACAGCAGTCCAGGGATAAGGACTAGAAGGCAGAAGGGGACAGGAAAGCTGGTGATAGGGAACTCAAGGTGGAGAAGGGACAGTGCTGACATGTCATGGGGTTGTTAACTACTGTCATAGGGCAATATGTGTAATAACTGTTGAATGAGAAACTATTTGTTCTGTAAACCTTCATCTAAGGTACAAAAAAGAAAAAAGAATTATCTACGTGAGATCAAATTGACAACAGCAACTCAAAAGGTTTGATGGGAAGCCTAGGGGACAGTGAGTTGAAGATATTGGTGATAGAATAATTTGGAAAAGGATAGTGAGAATAGCAGTACAACTGGAAGAATATAATCGATATCACTGAATTGTACACAAAGAAACTTTCAAAATGGTGTAACTTTGGCTATGTATATTTTCACCAAGAAAGGTCCCCAAAGTCGAGAAGGGAGAGTGTTGACATGTCATGGGGTTGTTAACCAATGTAATAAAACAATATGTGTACTGACTGTTTAATGAGAAACTATTTGTTCTGTAAACCCTCATCTAAAGTACAATAAAAAAAATTTCAATGCCAGTTTTACTTAAGAATGTCCTTAATGGTACAGGAAAAGTTATTTTTATTACATCTTGATCCTTGAGTACATATCTTTTTAATTTTCTGGGTAATAAAATGGGAAGCACATATAAAGAACTTCTGCAAACTGAAGTATGACAGTTACCTCAAAGACAACAGTTATACAATTATTTGAACTGTGAGGTGAACTAGTCAGTATTTTTATGGAACACAATTTTTACTTAAAAGAATGACTGACACTATGGTTTTTCACCCTTGGGTATTTGGCAGACATTTTCTCAAAAATGAATGAAGTGAAAATGCCAGCTCAAGAAAAACAATTGATGGTATTTGTTGCCAATGATATCATTCAAGCTTTCAATTAAAAATTTTCAAAAATTATTATAGTGAGCTTGACAACTTCCCAGTATTTAAAGACTTTTCTGATTAGATCAGCGGTGATATTAACAAACGTGATTTCTCGAAATTGCGTAATGAAATCTGCTAACTTTTGGAATATATGTATTACACAAAGAGCCACTATTTTTCAAAGGACCAATACTTCATTTAGTAATATTATGTATGGGTAAAGATCCATTCAAAGTGTAAGACAGACCAATCGTTCTTAATGTAAAAGAATTCAAATACCACTGATAGGGCTTTAGATTCCACATTGTAACTAACCTTTAAGAAATGATCGTTTTTCAAATTTTGGTGCAGTATCAAAGAAGAATATCCACAATTACCTGAAAGTGCCAATTTCCACTTACATATTTCCTCTTTCCCAATCACATATCTGCAAAGTTTATAGTAAGCGTTTATTGGAGTATTTCTTCTGGTTGTTGAGAACCATAAACACAATATTGCAATGGTTAATTACCATAGTTTGATCTCTGATCATCTCACAGTCATTTAAAAATAAATGAACAATTCATTATTCATTTGAAAGTTATATTCTCTTGTAATTTACTTATATTCTCTTGCTTAATTTACTATAGAAACAAGACTGACCACTGCTCTTAAAAAGGAGATGAATCTTTACAGTAAATTTTTAAATATGTACATGCAAATAAAGTCCTTTCTCTCCAGTTATAAAAGAATACATCCTATTTATTTAACATGTGACTCTTGAAATCTACATATAATCACCCAGATGACACTGATGTTAATGGATTTAAATTTTGGTTCTTAAATTTATAAGCAAATGTCCTTTCATTGAAAAAACTGACTTTTTGTATTTCAAAAGAAATCATTTAATTTGACCAAACCCCTGTAGTTCAGAAGTAACACACCAGAAGTCATTAACTTTCTCAGATGCATCTGTAGATAGGTTAAGAAGTAGAAATATTTAAAGAGAACTGTTCTTCTTATACAAATCCATCCAGTTAATGAATATCATGAATCATTAATTTCAAAGGCAGGAAACTTGAAAAAAATTTCAAAATGATAACTGATAAATAATGTCTTCACTAATAAACAAAGTCCCATTATCCTATCCTCTGAAAGTAAAAGGTTACACAGGATAGCGTTTTTCTAAAAGTCAGAAAGTCAGAACATTCAAGAAACAACCAGAAGCTGATTTCCCTGCCCTTATAATTACCCACCCATTTCTGCGTGCTCACCTTCGCAGTTCATTGAGCCCTCTGGCAGCTGGTAGGCTGGGGTTTTGCCTTAGGAAGTTTTGTTTTAAATTGAGATGAGTGAGGTCTTGGCTGTAGAAGAGGTTGGCAGGCAGATGCTCCAGGCTACAACACGAGAGGTCCACTGAGCTAATACGCTGTGATGCAACCTGGCGGAGGATAAAAATGCAATTTAATTTTAATACCATCCACTTATCCCAGAATGGCTTTCTGTGTAGAAATAAGATAACACTATTTGGGCACACAGACACACTATGCACGTAGCACTATTAATCCAAATATAAACCAATAGAGAATCTACTTGGTACAAAACTGAGCCAAGTTTTATTCTGCTTGAATAAAAGCAGAAAGCAGTGGCTCTGCCTGGAGGGTGCTTACAGTAACCTAGTATAGGAGATAGGTTACAAAGGGCACAGATTATCCTATCAAGTTTAGCGATGTCGGTAATCTCCAACAGTGCGGTTATATTCCTGAACACAGCCCAGGTACGAGAATTCAGAGAGAAGAATGCAGACCTTACAGTACACATAGGGAAGAGAGACAGGCACTAACATCTAACCTGAATCTATGAAAGCCCTTGTATATAATGACGTAAAACAGCACAAATAAGGAAAAGCAGCATTATTGGCCTTGTAGGCATCCTTAATAACACTGGCAGCATTTAATCAGATCCCATTACCTGCCTGCTATAAAAAACTTCTCAGGATGTCTCTCCCACAAAATTTCAGTGAGATGCTTATAAATTCATTCTGTTTTGCCTCATGTAAGTATTCTAAGTAAAATTGATTTTATGTCTAAATGTTTATCCAGATGTTCAGTGTCCTCCTGAGTAAATGACTCCTGCCATTGTCGTGGTTCCAGGACTACTGACCAACTGGCATGGTGGAGACAGAACATGCACTGGGTAACCTGTTTTTCTCAAATGCTCTCTCCAATATCCTGCGCAATATAGTGCCAGTTTATGCCAAAGTACCTGGCTTCAGCCTCACTTACACCTGTTTTGGCACATTCTCTCCTCACAAGGACGTTCTAAGACTTGGGTTGATTCTCCCTCATGTTCTTTTATCTTTACCAAAGCTCTATGACAGAAAACTCTGCAATATACTTGATCCCCTTTCTTATTACACAACTCCAGGTTTCTTTTTCCTAGTTACAGAAGGCAGATGACACAGTCCTCAGGACTGTGGGGATTCACCTCCCCGCTCCATCACTTATGAGCTGAGAGCACTTGAGGAGTCCACTGATCTCTCCAAGCTCAGGTTTCCTCATAAAGATGGCACCTACTTCTAATATCTGGTGCAGAAAAAGAATTCCAATAAATGTTAAGTGCTATTACATTATTATTACTATTACCATTTCCAAGTAGAATGAGTCACATTTTACATCCATTGGAACTCAAATTCTCCTGATGCTAAAAAGGTATTCTGACGTAAATGTGCATAAAATATATTCTGCTAATAGCATATTTGAGATTAGAAAGAAATTACTGTGCACACAAGAAAGCTAAGGGGATACTGGGATGAAAGAGGCCTGACAGGGCTCAACTCAAAAGATATTAAAAAGGAAGTCTGAGTTTGCATTTTAGCAATTTCATCTTCCCTTGAATTTTCATCCTATAATAAGAAAAAAGAAAGTTACGAACAGAGCCAAAACCCCCAATGTAAACCAAAAGATGTGAGAAGAGCCAAACTCTTACTGGGCCTGAAAGGCAGGTGCAAAACACCACACCCACATGGGATTCCCTGGCAGGAACCTATTCATAGGAAGTGAGGGTGGAAGTCACGCTAAGCAGTAGAATTATTCACTCAAAAATATGTGTTGAGCATCTAATGATGTGCCAGATACCGCAGTAAATAATACAGAGACAAGAGACAATCTCTGGCCCGGTAAGGACACATCTAGAGAAGCAGAAGGCAATTAAGATACATTACAGTTGTCACAACGTAAGGACAAGGCAGAGAACCGTCTGAGGACAAAATTTCCAAGCCCAAACTTGAAGCTTGAGTGGAAATCTGAGTTTTTTTGACTGCCCAGGATCTTTCTCCACTTCTTATAACAACCCTCAAACACACATGATCCTGATGGGAACTGCAAAGCATCCTGACCCTCTGGCTACAGGGCCAGGCATGCAATCCTGGTGGGAACAATCTCAACACCCATTCTCTGAAACCCCAGACTGATCCAAGGGGCACTGGCATGGTACTCAGGCTGTGCAATCAGAGATCTTGTCTGGGATTTAAATATTCTGAAACCAGACGAGAGAGAATCTGTAGCTTAGAGAGGCAGTTAAAATGAACGAACTAGATCCATATGCTTCAACCTGGAGAGATAAAAAAGCAAGCTGCAGAATGTTACATAGAGTATAAGACCATTTATGAAAAACATTTTTAACACAAACACAACAATTCCATATATATTCTGTATGAATAATTGTAAGTACAATAAAGCTATAAAACCATACATTGGTCATATACCAAATTAATGATAGTGATTTCCTCTAGATAGGGAGGGAGGGAAATGGAACTAGGAAGGGAACATAGGAGATTGTGAGTTTGTCTGTAACGCTTATTTCCTTATATCAGGGACAGTAGAAGATATGAATAAACTTTGCCAATATGTTAACAACTGGGGAAGACAGTATGTGGAAACTTATATTACTCTCTGTACTCTTCTGTGTGTGCATTTGTGTGCATGTTTTAATATGAAAAAAAATTTGATCTCAAAAATTTCAGTAAAATAGAAAAAAAAACCACATCAGAGCAGCCCTCTGGCTTGCCTTACAGTGTTCTACCAGGTGGTGCACCAGGGATGAGTCTTCTTCCTATAAACAAAGGATTCCCTTAACCCTTTGTAGTGAGCTGAATGGTGGCCCCCAAAAGATATGTCCATATTCAGATCCCTGGAATCTGTGAAAATTACCTTATATGGCAAAAGATATGATTTAAAGTTACAGATCTGGAGATGAGGATCTTATCCTGGTAGGCCCCAAATACAATCATATGTATCCTTCTAAAAGAGAGGCAGAGGGCGTTCGAAGGAGAGGAAGAGGCAATATGACCATGGAGGCAGAGAATGGGGTGATGCTGCCACAAGCCAAGGGATGCCTGGAGCCACCAGAATCTAGAAAAAGCAAGGAATGTATTCGCGCCTGGGTTCTCCACTAGAGCCTTCAGAGGGAGCACAGTTCTGCTGACACCTTGATTTCAGACTTCTGGCCTCCAAAACCACGAGAGATTACATTTCTGTTGTTTTAAGTCACCAAGGTTGTGGTACTTTGTCACAGTAGTCACAGGAAACTAATTCACCCCTGTTTATTCTTCCCACAGCACTTTTCATTTTCATTCATTCAACTTGATTACTGAATACTTACTATGTGCCAGTTACTGTTCTAGGTAAGTACTTCATGTACACTTCAGTAAACAAAACGAAGATCCCTGCCCTCTTTAAACTTACCTCAGAAAGACATAAATTATATAGTATGGTAAAAAAAAAAAAACGGTAACTATTATGGAAGAAACACAGCAAGAAAAGGAGGTCAGGATCGTTCGGAAGGTGGTGGATATAATTTAATTAGGGTGGTCGGGGTAGGCCTCATTGAAAAGGTGGCATTTAGATTTGAAGGAGCTGAAATGTTTACCTAAAGGAAGAACATTCCAGGTGTAGGAAGCAGCTGGTGTAAAAGCCCTAGGAAAGGAGTGTGCCTGGCACATTTGAGAAATAGCCAGTAATGAATTCAGAAAGGTAAGAGATGGGGTGGGGTGGGGTGGGGTGGAGTGGGGTGGGGTGGGCAGCAGATCCTCTGGGTCTTTTAGGTGACTGTAACGACTGCGGCTTTTACTGTGAGGAAAATGATCTAAAAATCAGTTTTAGAAAAAATACATCCAGAATGCTTAGAAGCAAGGATGGCGAGACTTTGGCTCACTTACTTTGGACATGTTATCAAGAAGGATCAATTACTAGAAAAAGACATCATGGTTGGTAAAATAAAAATAGAGGGTCTGCAAAAATGAGAAACACCCTCAATGAGATGGACTGACGCAATAGCCACAACAATGGATTCAAACATTGCAACCAACAATCATGAAGATGGTGTAGGACTGGGCAGTGCTTTGTCAGTTAGCCGTAAAGTTGCTATGAGTCAAAGCCAACTCAATGGCACTTAACAAGGACTGTGGCTTTTACCGTGAGCAAAATGGGAAGCAAAGAAAAGTTCTGAGAAGAGGTGTAAACTGATCACCTTCCAACATCATGTCACTTCCTTATTTAGTATCTGTCTCTTGTGTCTAGACTGTAAGTCCCATAAGGACAGAGATTGTTGTCTATTTTGTTCATTGATAGAACTCCAGTGCTTAACACTCAAAAAGACTTTGCTAAAGAATGGTCACCGAACTACTTTATAACCCTTCCTTTCTCTCCGGTTAGCTCTGACCTATCTAATGTATTCTTTCACATGGAGACTACTTTGAAGAAGACAAATTCTATCTCAACTGAAGCATCATACTAAATACTTTCTTCGGACAACTAACAGGCAACTAACGTCAGGTTGTATTTGATTCCTTCTGTCATTATGGACTACAAGCTAAAACAAGGGGGAAGAAACCACATTAACGAGGCTCCAACAACCAAGAGCACTCTTCTGAGAGTTATGGGAGAACCAGGAACATCTACAGCGAGAAGATAAATTAAACACGTCATAATGGCAGTGAGCTGCCAAGGTGACCACAAAAGCTAGCACTACTTGCTTCTCTGCCCAGTCCTGTGCCCTGGCAAAAGAAAGATTTAAGTGCTTCCCCCAGACCAATCTGAGCACATCAGCAACCCACCACAAAGAGAAGAAGAGCTCAAGTTAGAAGGTTTTGCTTGATACCCAAATGAAAAAAACTACCAGCTGGGCTATCCAAAGAGGCGGTGACCCACCTACACAGCAGCTATTAAAACTAAGATTCCTCCCAAAATAAGAAAGGCCTAAATAAATAAATCAGAAAGCCACTTGTATATGTCTCAGAGCAAGTAGGTCTTTATTATGCTTTGTTTTTTCAAATATTAGTAACAGTAATAGTAATAGTTAACATTTAGGTAGTGCTTTCTTTATGACAAACATTCTTCTAAGTGCTATAGATATAATATTTAATTTAATGTTCACAACAAC